AGAGAGAGAGAGAGAAAAATACAGGTAGTTTTCGAGTTACGACCACAATTGAGCCCGACATTTATGTTGCTAAGTGAAGCATTGGTTAAGAGAGTTTGACCCATTTTACGACTTTACTTGCCCCCCTTAGGGAAGTGAATCACTGGAATTGTTAGTAAGTTAGTAAGATGGCTGTTAAGTGAATCTGGATTTCCCATTGATTTGCTTGTCAGAAGGTCATAGAAACTGATCCCATGACCTCCGCAACTGTCATAAATAGGAAGCATCTGAATTTTGGTCATGTGACCATGGGGATGCTGCCACATAAGTGTGAAAAACAGTCATAAGTCACATTTTTCAGTGCCACCGTAACTTTGAACGGTTACTGAATGAACTGTTGTAAGTCGACGACTACCTGTAGTCATAGAACTTATGGAATAAGAGTTGGAAGGGACCTTGGAGGTTATCAAGTCCAACACCCCCCACCCCTGCTGAAGCAGGAGACCCTATACCTCTTCTTGAAAGTCTCCAATGATAGGGCACCCAAACCTCTGGAGGCAAATCATTCCATTGATTGATTGTTCCAACTGTCATGAAATTTCTCTTTGGTTCTAGGTTACTTCTCTGCTTGATTAGTTTCCATCTGTTCCGGACTAGCAGGCTCAAAAGCCTGCAACTCTGATTGGCCCGCGAATAGTAGATCGTGATTGGTCGCCACAGACTGATGCGATTGGCTAGTAAACGGGCTGCCGCGATTGGCCCTGCCAAGAGCGGCAAACTCAAAGCGCTTTCATTGGCTGCCTAGCCACAGCCAGCCCTATATAAGGGGCTGCTGCGGGTGGGATATTTCGCTCAGATCTGAAGTCACTAATAAAGAGCTGTTGTTGTTATCTGAGTCTTGCCTCCGTTCTTGAACCATCCTCCCAGATTTAACGCCATCCATTGGGTCTTATCTTCCCTTCTGGTGCTTTGGAAAATAGATTGATCCCCTCAGTTCTTCAGAATTGAAGAAGTTTCAAGTTTTTTTTCAAGGAAAAAAAAAAAACCAAGAAAATCTGGTTGCCTTTTGGAAAAATACCTTTTTGGACATTCAGCAACAAGGAACCTGAGATCAAAAATTTGGTTACTTTCACAGCCATCCAACCACTTTCAGTGGGATGGCAAGGGATGTCACAAAGGAAACTGTGTGGTCCCCCTGAAAAGGTGACCCTTAAGGAAGGTCTAACCACTGTCTCTTTTTACCCACTCCGTTTCTCCTTAATTTACAGGTTTTGCAAGCCCAAGTACTGGAATATCCAATTTGTCACAAAGTAGCTTACACAATGCGCTACACATTTACATGAATGGCTCCATGTCTCAGGTCCAGGGTTCAGCCAATGATCCCATCTTCATCCTGCACCATGCCTTTGTTGACAGGTAAGTTTGATTTGATTTGTTTGATTTGTCAACCGCTTACTAGATAATAGGTATAAGCATAACCATAGTTATGAATACATGAAATGGACACATAGGGGATGACCATGGCTTGTGACCATAGGTTAGGCAAGGAGCTGGTCCTGAAAGATTTTTCAAAGATTATGCTTACAGGTTTGGCTATGGCAGTGGATAGCTTTTTTAAGAAGTAGGTACATATTCCGTCCGGTCCAATAGACAGAGATGGTTTTAGACTGTGTAGTGCTTTTTCAACATTGTCTTCTGTAAAATCGATATGTATTAGATCATTGTAGTTTTTCTGTGGTTCAGCTAAGAAATACTGGGCATGATCCATTGCTGTTTACAAATACTGAGCCAAAGAATGTGTTAAAGAGGTTGGCTTTAATGGTGTCGTCGTGGATCTTGAGTCTTTTAGTTTGTTGTTTACAAAATTGTAAAAAGCGCGGGTGGAATTGGTGCGTAGAAGGTTTTCCTCTTGTTTAATGTGATAATTGGTGCATTCAGTCTTTATCTGGTGGCGTAAATTTTTATATCAGCTTTTGAAATTGGCAACGTGACCAGATTTGTTTTTCCACCAGAGTGATCTCTTTCTGGATTGAAGTTTCCTTATTGTTATGGGTAATCTGTTTTTTGTTTGTTTGTTTGTTTTGGGACATATAGTTTGATGACTCTTTTGACTTCAAGTAAAAATATGTTGTAATGGTCTTCAACAGTATTGCATCCAGTGAATAGAGACTGCCAATCAAGGGATGAGAGATCAATAAGTTGGATATTTCCTGGTAAATATTACAACTTCCATGTTAGCAGAGATCACAAAAATTGGATATATGAATTAGAAGAGAAACTTTGCAGAGATTCTAGGATTTAGAGGTTGGCTATTATTTATGTCTATATAATAATTTTGAGTTTACTATGGCTTTCCCATAGATAATATGCTAGAAAAAATGCCAGATGAAGACCATACTATGTTCTAGGGGCATGTGTCTTGAATGGAGTGGAGAGAGTGGAGTGGAGTGCAGTGGAGTGGAGTGGAGTGGAGTGGAATGGAATGGAATGGAATGGAATGGAATGGAATAGCATAGCATAGCATAGCATAGCATAGCATAGCATAGCATAGCATAGAATGCAGAAAAATGCAGAACATAATAGAAAGCAGAAAAATGCAGAATGGAATAGGATAGAATAGAATAGAATAGAATAGAATAGAATAGAATAGAATAGAATAGAATAGAAT